AAAAGGTGGAAATGAGTATTTTTCATCTCTCCTTTATTAAAACACTGATAGAGACATTCATCAGCACTGATAGTTATATGAAACTAAGTATTCCAAATTCTTTCCCTCTGTAAATCATGACTTACATCTGATTTTGGCTGGGTAGAGATTTACTAACAAGGAGATGAGAATTTATCTCTAGAATATACTAGAATATTAAAGAAGAAGCCCGGGGCAGAGCAAGTACCAAACGTACAGAGGTAGAGAGAGTAAATTGCTTGGGACGAAGGAACTAGATAACAGAAGGGATCATATAAGGAGTCTTTAGGAGACAAAAGTTTGACCAATAAAATGAAAATACAAGTTCTTTTTTTTAAAATTTTTTTTTCAACGTTTTTAATTTATTTTTTGGGACAGAGAGAGACAGAGCATGAACGGGGAAGGGGCAGAGAGAGAGGGAGACACAGAATCGGAAACAGGCTCCAGGCTCTGAGCATTCAGCCCAGAGCCCGACGCGGGGCTCGAACTCACGGACCGCGAGATCGTGACCTGGCTGAAGTCGGACGCTTAACCGACTGCGCCACCCAGGCGCCCCAAAAATACAAGTTCTATTTAGAGGAGACAACTCGGTAATGTCTCTGAATTCATGAACCATATAATTTGTCCTTTAATGCCTTGATACAATGAAACAATTTTTTTTCCTAAGCAAATTCAGTCACCCAACCTCCTGAGTAAGGTTCATGTTCTGAACCATAGTTACTTCAATCCCATTTGAAAAATAATTAGAAAAGAGACTTGGAAGTAGGAAATGGAACATCTCCTGAGTAATACTAGGCCCAGTGCTAAGCACTTTATTTCATTTTATCCTAAGTGAAAATCCTAAGAAATACACCTCATCTCCCCAATTCACTTTGTGGAAAATGAGGCTGAGAGGTTCTCTGCCAGAAATCCCACATGATGAAGCTAGGATTCAAACCTGGGCCTAATTCAGAAGTTTGTGGTCTTTTTAAACCAACATGCTGACTCCCCTAAGTGAAATGTTAGAGGTGTCCTGGCCCAGGTCTTAATGACAGAGGAAGAAGAGGAGGAAAGAGACAATGCTGGGACATTTTTTCAAAGATATCCTTTTGTCTGGTCGGGAAGTGGAGTTTTCCCATGATAATTAAGTAGCAGGAGTTGGGAATGTGGCACTTTCTCTGACTAGATTTTGAGGGAACATTTCCCATGGCGATTTATAATACTGAGGGTGAAAGAATCGTTCATTTTCCAGGTGAAATTTGGGGGAGACTTTCTTAGGCTTGTGATACTGGGTGAGGTGTTAGGCTGGAGTGTGGAAATTCGTTCCAAGTGTGCTTCTCAGATGCAGCTCTGGTCCCCAATCTACAAACCCCCACTTTTCTATGGAACACCCTGCTGTCCCATGTGCCATCAGAAGCTTTGCAGCCATGGTAAGACTGGATACAATGGTTTGGGGTCACAAAGAAGGAGAGGAATGAGCACAGTCGAATTATTCTCAACTACTTGTATCCATAAGAGGGTATCAATAAGGGAAGGAGGAAGGACTCTTGGGAAGTGGGTGCTTAGCAGATTGGTGTTGTTTCCTGGGGAGGTGGATGGGGTGAAGCAGCAATGGGATGCATCTTGAACTTAAGAGAATCAGGTACTCCTGGATGTTAAGAATATCAGGACCAAAGGCTGATGTCTCCAAACATGAACTATTTTACCTTTTGGAGATATGGCATTTTGCAGATAAAGGTATGAAAGCAGTGTAAGTATTTTGGACAAGAAAGAAACACTCCTTCTTGATCTCTTTGTCACTTCGGGTTCTCAATCTGGGCAGAAAGATACTAAGTGAGGAATGGCAGAAACACCCTGAAACCGAGTCCCTAGGCACAGGATGACTTCTCTGCCAAATATCTCAATCAGAGTTAAGATGCTGTGCCATGATGCACTGAAACAGGGACAGGGCCCAAAGTCATGGCACTCCTGAGTTTTAGCCTCTGTTGTTTATCAAATCACTCTTATAGCTTACTGATTTAGCTATAAAATAAGGAGAAAATGAATGTGACCCTCTAGTCTTTAAGACTCAAGAGCAAGATGATTTTCCCTCAAGAGTTAACTTGTTTGGGGAGGATGGTAGACATTCTGGCAGCTAGTGGTCATATTTCAGGGTTTGTAGCTAGGGAATCAAAGAAACCGGCCATCCCACTGCCCAGCTTCTTAGGGATGCCTGATTTTGAGAACTGCAGTTTTATTCCAGGGGCCAGGTTATCAGTAGCTGCAGCAGAGGGGAGAAGGCCAAGTACTCCCTGCCTTGAGAAGGAAGAGTGGCCACCTGTTGTCAAGTGGGAGGTTATCAATCTTGCCTCTCAGGATCTCTCTGGAGACATCCATGGGTGCCTAACCTCCAAGTTACTATAAGAGGTTTTCTCCTGGTAAGCCAAAGTGAACCTCAAAGTGGTCATATTAGGAGAACTATTGTTGGAATACTAAGGTGAAGGAAAAAAAGTGATTTGATGAGGTGTGATGGTAGATTCACCCAAACCAAGGTCTCTGGACACTCAGCACAGTTAAGAACTGTCAAGAAACACAGGATGAAGTATGGCTGAATCTGTATCAGAAGCAAGCCTGGTGTTCAGAGTATGGGGAAAAGCTCTCATTCCCTCAAACTAGGGTAGGACCCAAGAGCTGAAGCCTGTGAAACCAGAAGGTAGCCAAGAAAGGTACGTTAGCTGCCAGTGACCTATGAAGGGAAGGATATAGAACCTCTGTCAATGAGGCCAAGACATCTTAGATTTTGGATACTTTAAGACCATGGACTCCAGGGACAGATAAAAGAAAAATAACCTAAATAGGAGCGGGTAAGAGCCCTTGGCAAACAGTGGAAGCCCCAATTTGAAATGGGCAGAAATGAGTATGAACTTTTGTATGCACTTCTAGATGCTAAGCACAAGCAAATGGTCCTCACTAAGCAGGGTGGATTCTGGCCAGGAACGTTATTATTATTATCTGATATTTTTTCAATCATGAAAAATTAAATTAGGTTCAGCTATTTAGAATTTGGGTATGATTTCTATGGACTGGTTTTCCAGCAAAGGGAAAGTTGATTACAATGGCCTGTCATCTGGGGACAAGTTTACTGGTAATCTATACATGTCCCTGAAAACCTAATGATGTTAGTTATGAAAAGATCCAATGATGATGCATGGAAATCTCATCCCAAGAGAGGAAGGTCAGTGGTTACCATTTATTTAAAAAAGGTTTTGATGTTTTGAAAGTATAGAGTGGGGTGGTTGCTGGTCACTTTTCCCAACTTTGTTTTAGGAAAACTCAGTCAAGCCCATTCCCTCAGACCTCTGGTTTCCATTTCTGACACTCCTATTATTCTCTGGTTTTAGAGGAAAATCTGTGATCTTGCCCAGAAAGTTGTCCTAAGCAGCCTAGACAAAATGTAAGACTCAGCTGCCTTCCTGGACAAAGAAAAAGCGAGCAGTGCTTATTGTGACTATGTATACCTTTACCTCTCACTTGGAATATGTAATTAAAGTGACCCATGAAGAGATGAGGGAGACTGAGTCATCCTAGCCCACTCTGAAACATGTCCTGAGGGCGCAAAAGGAACCTGAAGGGTCTCAGAATGGGTGGTACTTGATAAAGCAGGGAAGTCTGCGCTCTTGTCCCATCAATAAGCAACAGATAGAACACTGAGATAGAATTAGAATGGACACAGACTTTACAGACACTATGATGTGGGGGTGGGGCAGGGGAGAAAGCATTTCTCAGGTTTGCCATTTATCTTCCTTTTGGAGATGTGAGAGAGTACTGGAAGAGGAAAAGGAACAGGTAGGTTTACATATCATTTAAATTTGTTTATAGGCCATGAATGAAAGATATGGAACTGTAACTGATCAATGAGTACAATGAAGAGTACAATTAGAAAAATTAGAGGTATTTCTATTAATATTTTAGTGTTAACATTAAAATTGGGAGTACAAGGATTATAAGTTCAGAAAATATTAAAGTCCATGAATAGCTCATATTTCCACCTAACAGATGGTTGGGAAAGAAATAAGGAAAGTAAGTTTCATGAAATGACAACCCTTTCAAAATCCTGTCTGGTAGCATGATCTCACTTGAATGATTTGTTAACAAGTGCTATAGAGGTCAGTGAAAATATTCTCACAATGGCTGGAAATTTAAGCTTCACACAAGCATAAGCTTTCTTTTCATTTCAAACATAAAAATAGAAAATGTATGGAAATTTGCATATCTTTGACAAAGTTAAAAAGAAGCTCTTGTTCTCTTATAGAATGATGCCCTGTGCTCTAGATGAACTCCACATCAGGTTGCTTGTAAAATGAATCTGCTAGCATCTTTTCTTGAGGCCATCTAAAGTGTGATCACTCAAATATTAACTCAGACTCTACAACCTTAAAAGCAGCACTAACATACAAGCTTCACTGCTGATAACAGCAACGGGCTATTCTTTTCTACGAGTATATCCCTCCTTAGCTTTGCCCGATAAACCTGTGTTCCAGTCCAGGCATTATCTAAAATCTTTAAAGAACATCATATTCGGTATGAGCTCTTCAAAGGGTGAGGGTGTTTCCCTCCAAGGAAAATTGAGGTGCTTACCAAAGGGAAGGGAAAGAGAGACAGGCACGTGCCTCACTCACTTCTGCTCCTCCACTGTAACCTAGCACTGCACCTGGCACATGGGGGCTCCTTAACAAATGTAAAATGAGAGGATTAAATCAGATGGCTCAGAGGTTAAGACTCTCTGCGTCTTCAAACTTGACATATATCTTTGGCTCCTACTTACGTTTGACACATAGAGATGTATCTTCTTAAACAGTTATCCACCTTTGTTTCAGACGAGGAATTCTACCATTTCAAGTTACTGTCTCAGTATAACTGGATAACCTCATCCCACTCAGAAATAGGCCAGACTCCATTGGGCCGTACATTGGGGGGAGAGCGCTTCCAGTCCCATGTCTTCACGGGAATCTTCCAGGTCTTACCATAGTTGGCTTCAATGTAGTCAATGGTTTCACAGGGCACATGAATCTTCATGTCTACAAACTCAGTCCAGCACAGTGTAAACTTGGGAAATAGGTACCTGCAGCAAAACAGAGGCAATGTAGAGAGGGGTTAGGCTCAAGAGTAAAAGTTTATCTCAGGAACCCAGTTGCTAGTGAACTTTGGGCTGAAGGAAAGGCCTCTCCCACTCAATAGCTTTGGGGACAGACACGGTGGGTATTTTGTTGTTTCTGACTGTCCAGCATCCCCTTCCTCTTCTATTTTTTTTTTTAAGTTTATTTATTCAGAGAGAGAGAGAGGGAGAGAGAGCACCTGTGCATGGGCAGGGGAAGGGCAGAGAGAGAGAGAACCCAAGCAGGCTTTATACTGTCAGCACAGAGTCAGACGAGGGGCTGGAACTCACGAATCGACTCGTGAAATCATGACCTGAGCTGATATTGAGTCAGATGCTTAACCGACTGAGCCACCCAGGCGCCCCTCCCATTCCTCTTCTAATGTTGACAGCACCTCCATTTGCCTCTCCTTATTCTCTATGGTTTAGGAAGGACTAACCCAACCCCCAGGCCGCTGAGGTACAAAGACCCAGGCGTAACCAGTACATTATAGTGACTGGATCAGGGATGGGAATATACACAAATTAGGCAAATAAAAGTCAACTCTGGGATTTCCGTTGGGACTACTGGAGGAAAGAGGCATTCTTTTTTGCTGAGGTTTCTAAGCTGGTGAGATGGAAGCTGAGCATCTTTGTTATCTATTAGCAGAAAGAGCCTGTCTGAGAATGAAGTCAAAGCCAAAAGCTGCCAAAAAGTGGAGGAAAAATGATAGAGCTCAGAAAACCCCAGGGAAGGACTTGGATTTAGCTGTGGCCATTCCTTAAACATTTATTCCTAAATAAATCCATGAATATATAGATATTCTTTGTTTCCTCAAAGTTTTATTTAAATTCTAGTTAACTATTCCTTTTTTTTTACAACATTTCTAATACTTGCACTTCTTCATTTTTTCTTAAAGTTTATTTATTTATTTGAGAGAAAGAGTGTATATCAGTGGGGAGGGGCAGAGAGAGGGAGAGAGAGAATCCCAAGTAGGCTCTGTGCTGTCAGAGGAGAGCCCGTGAAGGGGCTTGATCCCACAAACTGTGCGATCATGACCTGAGCTGAAATCAAGAGTTGGACACTTAACCGACTGAGCCACCAGGCACCCCAATACTTGCAATTCTTCATACATGGAGGGGAGACATGTACAGAAGTGAATGGAAACAAAACCTTTCTAGTTAGCCAGACAACCTGAATCAAGCCACACTTAAGACAGCTTTCTGAGTAAAGCTTCACGCACCAGCCCCCTCCTCAAACGCAGGAATCGAGGTCTAATGCTTGGCTGTCTGCACTTCAACAATATCTCTCTTAACGACAGCTATACAGACCCATTCTTCCTGCCCTGCTTTTATTTTACCACTTGCCCCCCTCCTTTTTTTTTTAAATCTCTGTTCTCAGCCACAAACTTACTTTCTTATTTTTAATAGTTCACACATCATTAAATCCCCATCCAATTCAAACTACTACTGAAAGAAGCTGACTACACAACACTAAAATAAGCAACACATGTGTGAGGTGAATCTTCTTTTCTCTTAGAGCCTGGATTTCCCGAGGATATACAGCAAGCATGACTCCAAGATGCATTCCCAGGCTTCTGTCCCTTAAACCTATCTGTAGTTTCTGCCTTTCTTTCATCTCAAATGCTAAAGAACATCTCGACACCAGCCCAGGCAATGTTACTTATAATGAATTTTACTCTGTCTATAGCAGAACTATTTTAACTAGCAGGTAAGTTTGAGAAATCAAACCAAAACACGTTTCTTAAATGAACTCTGGATCAGTAAATTAAATTCAATATATTACAAAGGAAAGCTAAAATGAGCAGGTTCATTAGGTTTAAGTTTATATTACAGCCCTATATTCTGTGTTGATGTTTTCTGAGGAATGTTTCTTCTCTTCACAACATGAAAAGAACTTTCAGTAATGAGATCTGAAGTGGCAATCGCAGAGATCACAGAAATTTAAAATATCAGAGGATTAAAGAAAAAAGGAACAGGAAAAAAGCCAGATGTCAAAGCATAATCATTTTGTAGAAATGGGATCTAGCTGGGATGTTCTCCAAGGAAAGGTCAGTTCTCACGTATTCTGCGGTTAAATATCATGTTTTACCACCAGATGAACGTAAAGCCATACATGAAAAGGAGAGGCTGAACAAATTCTGAAGAAAGCAACAAGTTCCTTCTACCCAAACCAATGGGTGCTGGCAGTTAATAGACAATCCCAGCTGGCTTCTGTGAAAAAACAGCCACAGAAAATCTCAGAGCTGAGGAAGAAATAAGATACAGCATAGCTCTACCATCTGCTGGTCCCAATTTTATTCTGCACACTCATATTCATGGAAATGCTTATTTTGTCATCAGACACAGCCATCCATCACTGGCCTCCACCCTCCCCTATCAGATTCTGGTCACCAGAATGTCCACCTGTCCTCTCCTATCAAGTTGACACACTGAAGTTGAAATGAGGCAGAAATTACGGTCTATTTTGTAACCTAGTCCAGGAAATTCCTCTCGTAAATATTAGCCTCTACAGTCTATCAAAGAAGTGAACATAAGAAAAATCACAGGTCTGGGATGAGAATACCACAAATTTTACAACAGCAATATTTTAAACAATGAAATGTTCGAATGAACAAAACCAAAACATTAAAACTACATATGCAATGTTAAAAGTAATTCAAAGACAATTTAACCGAAACGTTCATTTTTGTTCCTGAATGGAAATACCCCTAAATCTTTGTGGTTTTCTTTTCACTTAAATAATTTTCAATTCGATCAGCAAAAAGAAAATTCCAGCTTCCTAGGAGAAGAGGAAAGGTAAACAAACCATAAAATGTGAAAACAGATTGTGAAATGGGATTGCGGAGAGGAAGAGGGGGGTGGGTGACAGAGAACAGCACATGCCATGTGCTCTGTCCAGGTTACCAGTAAACACTACGACTGGACCACACCATGGGTCTGCGACCTTACCTTAGCTTTGGAAGCTAAGATTCTGTTTGGCTAAGCAGTTTGTACTTGAAAGCTCTGAGACAGGATCTAAAATGGGAACAGATTTCAATTCGAACCTAGTAAGTTCAAGGGATCTTTTCACATAAACAAAAATCCTTCCATTCACATTTCTATTTCATGCCACGTTCATTTTATCTTTGCATAAAATAGTAATTAGAATTAAGAGTTAGTTGGGAGTTAAAAAAAAAAAAAAGACAGAGAGAGAGAGTTAGTTGGAGTAGACCGTTTCCATTTTTTTCTCCTCACAGACATCCTTACAATCTGTAAAACCACTTACTGGTGGTGGGATAAAGTAATCTCACCAGTTTAATTGCACAACCTATAGACATTATTGCTAAGTGAAAAACATTGCTGTTATTATTCCTAGGTAGCTAGGCTAAGTGAGACAGAGACACCATCAATTGTAACTGAATCTGACCTTTTTAAACATAATTTGCATTAGACGCTGAAGTTAAAACAGCAGAGCCATGGTCTTAAACAAGAATTTCCTGTAAAACACCACAAATGGTTTATTCTTATTATCAGTTTGGTCTCTTCTTTAATTCTTAATTTCTTTTTCTTGTGTTATTACAATGCCTAAGCCCTCTAGCATTTGGCTTAAGGGAAGCAAGGATAGCACATAAGTTTTTGTTTGTTTCTGATTTTAATAGAAAAGCTTCTAAAAAGTTTACCATCAAATATGATTGCTCACTCTAGGTTTTTGGTATATTCCCTTTATCTGGTTAAGGAAATTCCAGATCCCTTTTATTTCAAACTTGCTAAAAGATCTTTCCCCTCCCTTCTGGTTAATTATGAAATTTATCAAAAGTTTTTAATGTCATCTATTGAAACAATCATCAAAGGTTTTTCTCCTTTAATCTTTTAATCCTTTAATGTTGAGAATTACACAAATATATAGATACTATAAAATTTGATTTGTTTTATTTCATTTAAGATATTTTCATCTGTTCGACAATATTGTAATTTCCCTTTAAAAATTTTGTTGGCATTGTCCAAGTCTAATTTTGCTATCAATCTCAGACAATGAGTTGCTTAAAGCATATTTTTCATATTTTTCCTTTTTAAATTTTCTGAAATAGGAGATATAATATAGGGAATAATCTACTTTGTGAAGGCATGGTAAAACTTTCCTGTAAACTTTCTTGGCCTTTCATTTGGGACAAGAGGGGGAAAGGAGAATTTTTCTTTTTCTTTTTTTAAATGTTTATTTATTTTTGAGAGAGAAGGGAGACAGAACGTGAGCAGGGGAGGGGTAGAGAGAGAAGAAGACACAGAATCTGAAGCAGGCTCCAGGCTCTGAGCTGTCAGCACAGAGCGTGATGCGGGGCTCGAACCCATGAACCGTGAGATCATGACCTGAGACAAAGCTGGACGCCTAGCCGACTGAGCCACCTGGGCACCCTGGAAAGAAGAATTTCTGATTATTAATTCAATTTCTTTCATGAGTATAAGTTTCCTAGATCTTCTTGAGTTTTAACATTTATTTTTGCCCAGAAAATTTTATCATTTTCGTATTACACCTTATTATCAAATTTAATGATTTAACGTCCCTAACATTTTCCTTTGGAAGTCAGTGTAACATAGTTAAGAGCATAAACTCTAAAGCTCTTGGGTTAGAGTAGTCAATATTTAATTTTACTCTTTTTTAAAAAATTTTTAAATGTTTATTTATTTATTTATTTATTTTTTTCCCCGCCCCTAAATGTTTATTTTTGAGAGAGAGAGACAAAGCGTGAGCAGGGGAGAGACACAGAGAGACAAAGAATCTGAAGCCAGCTCGAGGCTCTGAGCTGTCAGCACAGAGCCCGGCAATGGGACTTGAACCCATGAACTGTGAGATCACAACCTGAGCCAAAGTCAGATGCTTAACAGACTGAGCCATCCAAGCGCCCTTTTTCTTTTTTTCTTGATCAGTCTTGTTAGATGTCTAGTTTAATTTGCTAGTTTTTATTTTTTTTTTAAGAACGAGCATTTGG